AACCACAGGAGCATATAATTGGTGTACTAAACTCATTTTCTCATGTTATCACATCTGGCATCTTCAGGTTATTAAAAGACCTTAAACTAGCTGTCTTTGAGGAGATCTAATTGTCAATATGGTCTTTATACGTTATATCTGTTAGCACAGTGCTAAAGTGATATAAACAGGCACTAAAATTGCACAAATTTTCTCTGTGTCACTTTCTTATTTCAAGTTCATGGGACAGTAAATGTTAATGAGGGGGGAAACGTTCTTTGGCTCTTGGCACACTCATTAATACACAGGGCAATCAGCTCCTAAAGAATAATTTATTGACATTATAGTCTGAATCAGATTTCCAAGTACCCAGGAGTTTGGGATATTTGTGAGTGGCCCTACAAACAAGACTATTTCCTGAGGTATGAATGATATCAGAACAGGGAAAAATAAGCCAAAGGTCTGACATTATTGAAGGAGCAGGGTGGGGACACTTGTAGAGAGGCTTTCAACTCAATGACTGACAGTTTTAGTTGTCAACTAGAAACAAGCTAGAATGACCCAGGAGGAGAGGCTCAGTGAGGGCTCGTCCAGATCAAGTCTCAGCCTGTGGGGGCTTGTCCTGAGCTTACTAACCGAGGTGGGAAGACCCAGCCATTGTGAGTGAAGCCATTGCTGTGATGGGAAGTCCTGAACTATGAGAGTGGAGAAAGTGAGTTGAGCATAAGCACGTATGTACTCATTCTCTCTCCGCTGCTCCTGTCTGTGGATGTGACCAGCTGCCTCCAGGCCCTGCCACAGCGACTTCCCTGCAGCGACAGACTAGAGCCTGGAACTGAGAGCTAAAACAAACTCTTCTCCTTTAAGTGGCTTTTATCAGTGTTTCCTCACAGCAACAGGAACAGAACCGAGACAAAGTCTCACCCTGTTTTCCCACTGCCACAGTATATTTCTCCAAATTCTTCTCACCAAGAGAAACGGGGAGTCAGAAGAAACGGAATCATGGATAGCTCCTTCAGAGCATTCTAAAATGGGGGGAAACATCCACCAGAAGGACCAGCAGTTACTAGGAAGGGTAAGGAATCAGTCTAGCATCCACGGTCATTAAGAATTTACTACTGGCTTATCTTACCTGACATCAGCCCTCCTCTAGGCCACACCCTCTAGTTGAACAAATGGTTGTAAACAAAGAATAAAATAATGAAGGGTGCAGACTCACTCTTCAATATGGTTGGTGTCCTCCCTTTTTTCTAGGGTCCTCAGGGTATGCCAAGTGACCTCACCTGCACTGACCTCCACAGCCCTTGATGGTCATACCAGAAGGAAAGTATCCCTCATCCCATCTGCAGTGAAGCTTCCTGTCACTGGTCCCTGGTGTATGCAGCTGATATTCTGGAGCCTGAGCTATCTGAAGCTTGGAATATGCTGAATCCATCATCAAGTCAAGCCTTTGCACCCACTTATGTTCTCAACTAAGAACATGCATCCACGGCTGTCCGAGGGATGAGGCAGACCCAAGAGATGGCTCTCAAGCTCAACTTGGACTCACATATAGACAGGGAGGCATGTGGACTCCACTTCCATTAGAACACACTCATATCAGAAAGCTTTTAGACTCATGTCAATAATGACATCTCGCCAGCTCCTGGGGCATTTCTGCATCCGGATTAGATACATTTTGGGCTTCTACTGAGATCTGTTGTATGCCTGTGTATTTGGGCTCTATATGTTTTCCACCACCAGATAATTAAGCAGTTCTTTCCAAACCCTGGGGTCATCTCTGAATCACTGCATACCAGCTAAATAGATTGAGTGCTGAGGCTCACCCATCTTTTCATCCAGGAAATCTGTGCGTAACACCAATTCCAGATTTAAATAATTTGCTGTGCTGTTTTTTAACTATGCATATTTTCAAAGGTGCAGAAGATACTATATATAGGTAATAACACATTTGAATGTTGATGTGGCTTGCCTATATATATTGGTGAAAACAAAGTATTCAGTTGTTTAGTTAGTTGTATACAACTGAGTCTGGAGTTTTTCCAAGTACTGTCACATGACTATACACAGTATTATTCTAAGCACACTATTTTTTAATATTATTGCTGCAGTTACAATAGACACCAGCTATCAATTAGGATAATGTTTTATTTACTTTATATATCAAGGAAAAAGCCATTTAGTTAAGATTATCTACTATATCTCAATTACATTATAATAGGATACCAGCTATTATCCTTTAGGATAAAATCTGGAATAAATCAGTTCAGTTAATAATCTTGACAAGTTTAAGATGAAATAACCCTTTGTTCTCACATTTAAATACTTCATATTTTTAGTATGTTTGGGAGCTAATAATAGAAAAGTACAGCATGCTCTAAGACAATGGAGTCCTCTTTGCTCTAAAGCGAAAATTGGAGCCTGGATGCAGGCTAGCAGCCTTCACAGAGCAGTCAGCTCTAGACTGTGTAGCTTGCTGTAGTTCTGGGAGGTTGCTGTGAGTGGCTTTTACAGTCACATTTAGTTCATTATGCACTTTTCTGTCTTCTTTCTGGTTATTTCCCTGCTTTGACAACAAAAATAACCATAATGGAAGCAAAGAAATGAAGTAATAGCATGTGATATTATCATTTTAGCAGGAGATAGGTATTGCCATAAATACAATTTCTAGGCAAGGAAACGTTTGCCTTACTGTTTAACTTTTCAAATTTATAGATAAAGGCAAAATTTTACAGGTTTATCATATAACATTTGGTGTTTTGATACATGAATTCTAAATTTTATTAAGGTAAATAAGTTTTAAATATCTTTATGGAAAATATGTAATTTACATATATTTAGGAAATTTAATTTAAATAGGCATCTAAAATAATGTCATGCTATAGCGTAATATTTTCTTGTTGACTAACTGCTTAAGATGTAGAATACTGATGCTCTTTGCATTCATTCATTCACCAAGTATTTACTGAGTGTCCTACACACTGTGAGAGACAGCAGAGATAGAACTGAAGAAAATATACAAACATCCCTGACAAACGGAGTTCATATCCTGGTCAATTGTCATGATCTAAATGTGTCCCCAAATTCCACACGTGGGAAATTTGTTATTAACATAGCAGTATTGATAAGTGGGACTTTGGGAGATGGATAGGTCATGAATGAATGGATTCATGGCTTACTGAAAGGGAGACTGTAGAGTAGCTAGCTTTCTAGACTGATGCTGTCTCTTGCCACGTGAGGCTCTCTGCCATATTGTGATGAAGCAAGAAGACAACCACGCACACCCAAGCGCGCACAAACACACACACACACACATAGACATACACACACACAGGCACTCATATTACACCACACCACACACACACACAAACATACACACACAGGCACACACACCCACACCACATCTCTCTCTCTCTCTCTCTCTCTCTCTCTCTCTCTCTCTCTCTCTCTCTCTCTCTCTCTCTCTCACACACACATGACCAGATGCTGAGTAGATGTCAGCCATGCTGTTGGGTTTCTCAATCTCTACAGCATAAGCTAAGTAAACCTCTATTGTTTATAAACTATACAGTCTTAGGCATTTTGTTACAGAGACAGACAACAAACTGAAAGAGTATACAAGATGTTTGCCTCTACAACAGACCTCAGGGTCTGTAAACCATAGCTGCTGTGGTTTAGATTGCTTTGTTCCTTGCGGGGGGGGGGGGGGGGGGGGGGGGGGGAGGGCAACTGTTACTTGTTAATAGCACAGTCTCTCCTTTGATCTGGGCACCACTGTAAGCAACTGTCTCCTGTAACAGCCCTCCTGGGGAACTCTACCCCTGTATTAGGGGTCTTTCTTTGTCCTCTTCAGTGGTTCATGTGATTCAATTCTAGTATGACTAACAGGAGCAAAGGGCTCTGTGCTATTCTTTCCCTATGAGGATAAAATGGATCTATGTGCAATCAGGACTCCTAGAAGAGCAGCAAGCAATGCCATGTACTAACATTACAAATATGGTTTTTATGGTTGCAGTAGCCTTTTCTAATAATTCTCAAAACTTTAAAACAGAATTTAGAAATACCAAAGCTTTTTAAAGGGAGAAACAAAAAACTCACTTTCCCAACATTCTTGTGGTTTTGCTTTTCCTGAAGTCCTGGGGATTGAACTCAGGGCCTTGAACATGCTAACCAAGCATGCTACCACTGAACTAACCCCCAGCCCTCCTATCTTGTGGCTGTTGCCAAAAAAAAAAATTGTTTGTAGGAATCCAGGAGAAAAGATGGCATTCTGAATGGCATCCAGAGAAACAGTGACTAAGATGAAAAGGGACATCTAGGACTCATTCATAGACTCATCAGACATGGCAGCTAGACAGGGGTCACCAGGCAGGCATGCAGCTAAGAACTCCAGTTCTGGGGTGGATCCTCCTCCTTAGTGTACTCATCTGGAAAATAGTGTGCATAGCCCAGGGCTGTGAGGTTGAGGTGGATGAATATAGGTTAAGAGCCTATACCGGGCATACAGTAAGTATGGGGTAAATGTTAGTTATTATGACCTCAATCTCTTTGTTTAGGCTTTCTTTTCTTTTCCTTTTCCAAGACAGGGTCTCTCTGTGCAGCCCTGGCTATCTTGGAACTCACTCTGTAGATCAGGCTGACCTTGAACTCAGAGGTATGTCTGCCTCCTGGGCACTAGGATTAAAGGTGTTTGCCACTGCTGCCTGGCTTCTTCATTTAATTTTATAGATAAACAAGACAATAAAACACTAATTTTTTAAAAAGTGAAAAGTTAGAAGTAAAACCAATGCCTAAGTCAGGTGTCCCAATTCTCATCCTATTTTTCAGACCTCCCTTCCCATGTCTGTGTTCTTAACAAATGGAAAGACGTATTGACTCATGTAAATCACACAGGGACTACACAATTATTTAATCCTTCCACCTCTGCAAAATGAAGGACTCCAAGCCTCTCTGCCCAGGACCGTGGCCCCACTCTTCAGACAAAGTTTAAGTGTTAAGAGCGCAACCATTCCCTTCCTCACCTTAAACTTGTCGACTTCAGCCTTGGAACACGTAGCATGGTAGGACAGCACCTGATGAGGGAGAGGACAGAACGTCAGTAATGGACATGACTGGCTCGTCTCAAATTTTCCTCTCTTGAAAATGGCTTTGCTCAAATACACCACCTTGACTTGGTAGTGGATTTCAATGTATAACAAGAGATTTCTATGAATTGTCTGTGACAGACTAAAGGCTGGCCACGTTACACCAGCATTTGTCAAAGGAACAATGTGGAGGTCAAACCGTGGACACCAGGGGATGCGAATATCTACTAAATCTTTCTGCACTTACCAACCTCGGAGAATCAGTTTGCCTCTGAATTGTGGCTCAGCATTTCCCAGATCTAATTAGCTTTAGAACTCTGCTTTAGATGATACAGCAATGTCACAGCACGCCAACCTAATAAGCCATTGACCAAGAACTTTTGAGAAATGCTGATGCAGGTGAAAGCACACAGCAGAGGAGGCAGCGCCCCACAGTGGTTGAACACAGTCAGTGCAGCCACATTGTTAGCGTCTTTACTTCACAGCTCTGTGAACTTGGGTGGGCAAATTTGGGACTACTTTGTAAAGTGGCATAATAGCAGTACTATAGAGACACCACATGTTTAACAGAAGCCCACCTTTGAAAATCAGAGGGTCCACCTGTAAACCCCAGCCGAGATCATTTTTTTCTGATTTTCAACAGGAAAAATTAGAATGCATTGTAGTATCTGTAAAAATTTCCTAAAACTTACTTATGGTGTGGAAGAGTTCATAGGTGGGCATGAAATAAGGAAAATGATGACGGAACACAATAATGTTTAAATGAAACTTTGTATCGTTTACTGGAAGTAAATACTTTGTCTCCTACTGTGAACATTTTCCTCACTAACTTCTTTACCCATAGTTTTCCCAGTCACCATTGACTTTCAGAAGGGACTCACAAAATATTGCATTGTGAGGTAAATAACATTTTAAGGTTTGGTTATTGACAACAATGAGTTTCTACTGGTAAATGTTAACTGTATCAGTAAATGTTAACTGTAGCAGTATTACCCGAGGTTGGTTTGTATTTCACTGACTTTTTAGGAATATTGAATGCAATAGAACATGTCGATTACCCAGCATACAACTCACTTATGGTGACTACATGAATCATCGGTTAAAAGTCACCCATATATATTTGGCTGAATATCACATATTATGATTTTCATTTATTCAATAGTTTTTCAATAAAAATATGTTCTTTTGGTTCTGTTTTATTAAGGCAAGCTTTAAGTTTATTGTTACCTTATATTTTGTAATGGTGTTTGCAAGTTCTTTTTGTATATTAAGTTTTTAAAATCAGCTGTTAACCTAAAAAACCTGAAACCCAAAGCAGCAATTTAAATCTCTGCCACTAGGTGGTGCTCAGCCAGGCTTTTGGCAGGTGACTAAGGCATGCTGCCACTTTAAACCAATTTTCCACTTCTTTTATTATTAAAAAAGCCCATCATGATACTATATTGTAACTGTTTGAATCAGTGAAGCAAATAACTACTAGAACAGAGAGGTTCTCTGCTCACTTAAAATTAGTTTCTTTTTTTTTAATGTTAATTGAGGTATAGGGTCCATTGTACATTGTAGAATCAAGTTCTATAAAATATATGCACATATATTCTTGAACATTGCTTCCCTGTGCAATAGTATACTTTTGTTTGCTTGTTTTTTTAAGAGGAGGGCTAGCTGCGTTGCCTCAATAGTCTCCCGCCTCAGACTGTGAGCAGCTGAGGCCTACAGGCCCGTGCATTTTGCCTGGTTATTCTTTTAATGAACTGAAGTTTCAAATTTTGATTCAGCCTATTTGTTCATTTTTTATTATCGCTTTGTGTGTCTTTTCTAAGAAGCATCTACTCATCACTAAAGTTATTGACGTGTGGTGTGTGTGTGTGTGTGTGTGTGTGTGTGTACAAGTGCACAAGGTTTCTTGCTTATTTTTTATGTTAAAGTCTATGATAGCTCAAAACTAATTTTGTGCATAGGGAAAGACTAAAACTTAAGGAAATAAATACTTTGGGTATGTTTTCAGCACTATTACTGTATTTTCCTTGTTTATTTTATTTAATTTGACAAATAATATAACCAAGCAGCTTTTGGTTTAGCCCTTTAAATCTTATCTCCTATTATGTGACTCAGAACCAGAGGGTGGAGGAGGAATCAGGCTCAGAATACTTTTGGTTTGTTTTGCTTTTCTGAGACAGAATCTTACATTATATTCCAGATTATCCTGGAATTCATGACATAGCCAAGCTGACCTCAAACTTGAGAAGCTCCTCCTGTCTCAGCCTGCCATTGCTGGAAATATATGTGAGCTACTCCCTTTGACTTCAAGAATCTTTCAGCCACCTTCTTCTAAAAGTTCCAGCACCATGGAGATGGACGGGAAGGAATTCTCACTCCTCGTACTGCAGCATCAAGCCCTGTGGTAAACTATGGTGATGGTAGCAAATCCCCTCTAGCAACCCCCAGAAAAGCAGCGATGGAGAAGTAAGTTACTCAAGTCAGAGAGATCTGTGTTTTCCTCAGGGCTACTTCAGCTGTATTCCTTCAAACCCTCCTTGCTATTTAGTTCTAAAGGAGTACGAACTGCTTAAGGAGGATTTTTCTTTTTCAGTGCTGTGTTGGTTTGCATAATGACAGCCCCGGTAGGTTCCTATGTTTGTTTGGTCTCCCGTTGGTAGACTGGCTTGGATAGATTAGGAGGTATGGCACTGGAGGTGGGCTTTGAAGTTTCAAAATCCCAAACCATTCCCAGTTAGCTCTTTCTTTCTGCCTTGTGCCCGTGTGTGACATATGAGCTTTCAGCTACAGCCTTCGTGTCATGCCTGCCTGCCAGCTGCCCACCCCCATGCTGGTCAGACTCTCACCCTTCGGAACTGTAAACCCCTATACATTTGCTTCTGTAAGCTGCCCTGGTCATGGTGTCTCTTTACAGCAACAGAAAAGCAACTAAGACGAATGCTATGGGTTGTACTCAGGGCCTTGCACATGCTAGGAAAGAATGAAGGATTCCCCATGAATCGGGGACTCATCCTTGCACAGAGACCTTGTCAGTCTTCTCTGTCATAGTGGCTTTACAAGCGCTGCCCAGCACTCAGGGGCATCTAGGAAGGGCCAGGTGATTTACCTCTCCATTGATTTTCTTTGTTTGCTGCATACAGGGTGGAGCAATGAGAGCCAGTGACATCTCCACCCTTTCTTGTGTGACAATCTGACTAGAGCTTAATGTACAGCAGTGATTTTGCTACTCCCAGCTTCTTCTTGCAAAGTCTGTGACCAAAAATGATGAACTCATTATTTAAATCCTTTTTAGACTTTAAATGCACCTCTCTCTCTCTTTCTCTCTCTCTCTCTTTCTCTCTCTCTCTCTCTCGTGTGTGTGTGTGTGTGTGTGTGTGTGTGTGTGTGTGTGTAAGTCAGGGAACTTGTGGGAGTCAGTGCTCCCTTTCCATAATGTAAGCTTTGGGTATTGTCTTAGTTCGGATCTTAGTTGGATTTTTATTGCTGTGAAGAGACACCATGACCACGGCAACTCTTATTAAGAAAACATTTAATTGGGGTGGCTCACTTATAGTTTCAGAGGTTCAGCCCATTAGCATCATGGTGGGAAGCATGGTGGGATACTGGCTGCATCTTTGATTTGCAGGCCATAGGCCACTGGGCAGTATCTTGCGCATAGGAAAACTCAAAGCCTGCCCTTGCAGTGGCACACTTCCTCAGAAAAGGCAATACCCACTCCAACAAAGCCACACCTCCTAATAGTGCCATTCTCTATGAGATTATGAGGGCCAATTACATTCAAACTACCACAGGTATCAAATTCAGGTCATCAGGTTTGGCAGCAAGGGCCTTGATGCCCTGAGGATCTCACTAGCTCTGCTTCACTGTTTTAAAAGCATGCTAATGCCACTTAGAACTTCATCATCTGTGATCATGATCTCTGGTCCACCTTCATCAGTCTCAATGCTACCCTCAACACTGCACTGATCCCTGGACTCAACCTTCTAAGTTTCTATTGACAAATTCACTGTCAGAGGTTCAAATGACCTTGTGTAGCAGAACTGAATGCAGGGTCACACCTTCTGTCTTTCTTTAATGCTTCCCACTGGACTTTCCTGGCCACCCATTGTTTGGGTTTTTATTCTATGTCTCTGGTCCTTCTGTTGCTTTTTGCCTTGCTTCCCTCTTTTCACTCTAAATGCAGTGGCTTTCTGTGACCTTTCTCTTTCTCAACCGTGCTACATTACCCCATAGCTTTCCACAGTTTATCCGGGTTGACAACTTCTAATTTCAGTGGCAATCTGTCCTTGCACTTCTCACTCATGTTCACAATGACCACCATCATGAGTTCCTGTTGGGTTGACTCACAGGCAACTCAAATTTAACATGTCTCAAACACACATGTTGATTTTTACCCCCATACATGCTAGACAGAACAACACTCTACAGCTCCAACTCAAAAGGCAATCGTGTCCATCTCACAAGACATTCCTATTACCTGTGAACATGTTATAGTAGATAGCAAAAAGATGTGTCTACAGAAGGAATTAACATTGATAAGTAATTAAGTGGGTCTAGTGTATTCAACAGTCTTTACAAGTGAAAGAAGGAGGGAGGAAGAGTCAGATAATGCGGTGTGATACTTGACCAGTCAGTGAAGGTTGGGAGATGGGCCACAGCAATGAGGTTAGTTCTACAAGGCAGAAAGGCCAGCGGCATAGACTGTCTGTTAACATCTTCAGAGGAACAAAGATCTTCCTACACCTCAATTTTATCCTTGTAAGGTCTCTTGTAGACTTATATGACCTCCAGAATTACAACATAATAAATATGTGTTATTTTAATTCACTGGGTTGTAGTGAATTCAGTAGTGAATTCATTACAACACCAAAAGGAAACTAATGTTTTACACAAATCTTTTCCTCCCAGAGACTTTCTTGGCTCTATAAATAATACCCTATCCAGCAATTTATTTAAACCAGAAACCCCAGGATTATCTTTGACTTTTTCCT